CCTTCGCTAGCAGCTCCTTTACCAACTTCTTTCACAACCTCTTTGGTACGTAGCTTTCCACTGTCCTGCTACTGTACCTTCTTTGCATACGTACTTGGGCGTTCCGATCAGTCCGTCCTTCGCTAGCCAACACCTGCAGCGATTGTTCATCCTTCTCAATCGCTTTGGATTTCGCAGACTCCAATTGGGCCTAAAAGAGTTTCAATGATGTTTTTGGGCTGACAGTTGTTACTAGCTGTTGGCCCCCAATCCCCCAGCGCAAGCGCTGGTTTCCTCCAAGGGTGAGGTGGGACTAGGGTAATCTTTATAACTATCTATTCCTAGACTTCAAATTCACTCTGTCAAATACAGAGCAGTCTTTTCAAAAGGAATGAGCTGCAACTGAGCTGCAGCTCCTTTACCAACTTCTTTCACAACCTCTTTGGTACGTAGCTTTCCACTGTCCTGCTACTGTACCTTCTTTGCATACGTACTTGGGCGTTCCGATCAGTCCGTCCTTCGCTAGCAGCTCCTTTACCAACTTCTTTCACAACCTCTTTGGTACGTAGCTTTCCACTGTCCTGCTACTGTACCTTCTTTGCATACGTACTTGGGCGTTCCGATCAGTCCGTCCTTCGCTAGCCAACACCTGCAGCGATTGTTCATCCTTCTCAATCGCTTTGGATTTCGCAGACTCCAATTGGGCCTAAAAGAGTTTCAATGATGTTTTTGGGCTGACAGTTGTTACTAGCTGTTGGCCCCCAATCCCCCAGCGCAAGCGCTGGTTTCCTCCAAGGGTGAGGTGGGACTAGGGTAATCTTTATAACTATCTATTCCTAGACTTCAAATTCACTCTGTCAAATACAGAGCAGTCTTTTCAAAAGGAATGAGCTGCAACTGAGCTGCAGCTCCTTTACCAACTTCTTTCACAACCTCTTTGGTACGTAGCTTTCCACTGTCCTGCTACTGTACCTTCTTTGCATACGTACTTGGGCGTTCCGATCAGTCCGTCCTTCGCTAGCAGCTCCTTTACCAACTTCTTTCACAACCTCTTTGGTACGTAGCTTTCCACTGTCCTGCTACTGTACCTTCTTTGCATACGTACTTGGGCGTTCCGATCAGTCCGTCCTTCGCTAGCCAACACCTGCAGCGATTGTTCATCCTTCTCAATCGCTTTGGATTTCGCAGACTCCAATTGGGCCTAAAAGAGTTTCAATGATGTTTTTGGGCTGACAGTTGTTACTAGCTGTTGGCCCCCAATCCCCCAGCGCAAGCGCTGGTTTCCTCCAAGGGTGAGGTGGGACTAGGGTAATCTTAATAACTATCTATTCCTAGACTTCAAATTCACTCTGTCAAATACAGAGCAGTCTTTTCAAAAGGAATGAGCTGCAACTGAGCTGCAGCTCCTTCACCAACTTCTTTCACAACCTCTTTGGTACGCAGCTTTCTACTGTCCTGCTACTGTACCTTCTTTGCATACGTACTTGGGCGTTCGGATCAGTCCGTCCTTCGCTAGCCAACACCTGCAGTATTCATTTTCACGTGGAATATATGTATCATCCCACAGTTCATCTGGGTCCACTCCTGCGAGCAAATCACTATCCAATATGATTTCACCATTCTTCCAATGATAAGTATGCAAATCACAAACGCCTTTGTCTTGTGCCATTTGTTCCACAATTTTGATCACTTGCTTGGTGATTGGAAGTACCGTTACATAGGGTCTCGTTACTGTCTTTTTTGTATTAGATCAAGTAACATATGTCCCGCTTGTATGCTGTCATTTTCTCCAAGATAAATACCATCAATCGTTCTTGATCGTTGACTGTTGTTGGTCGTGTGACCATATCCTTGTACAAAGGATCCAATTTCAGCAACACATTCTTTTGAAAAATCCACCGGTTTTTCGTCTCACAATCATGTGTGGACTGTAATATTTTGAAATTCCCTCCTTTGCAGGATAAAAGCTAGTAACCTTTGTCACATGCTTGAGTAAAGCAATAGTCAAAACCTTGGGAATTGCCTTGAATACCATTCGATGATAGTGTGCTAGGAATAATCCTTTTAATGTTTGATTGCTGCGCTCAATAGTTGGTTCATGTTTGCCTGGCGCGGCATAATTCATGGTCACATCCATATTATCTTTCACGTCATCAAATACCGGTTTGAATTTGTTGTCGCAATAAATAGTTTTGATTCAAAATTCTGCATGATTATAAATGCGTAAAATTTCGTCAATCGACTTGTAAATAGCATCTTTCGTCCAATCTTTCAGTCTCCGAGTCTCGATCCCCGAGGGCAGTTCCACAATCTTTCTCTCTTACCCAATGGTTGGAGTAGTCGAACTGGGACGTCAGCTCATCTTCGGATAGGTACTTTCGTAGATAGTACAGTCGTCCAATCAAGAAATATTAGGGTCAAGTACTCCTCCCTTGATCCTTGCACCTGCAATGTTGGTGATTTGCGTGTCGGTGTACACCCAAACTGCAGTGCAGGGAGAAACTCTGAAGTGGTGTTCGAAACTTGGCACGCTTGATTCGCCTTTTGCTGTAGCCCTTCAGAGCAAGGCCAGATTCCATGATCTCCGATGGAGTAACAAGATGGTTGATGGGCGGCTCGTCCATGAAAGAGACTGATTTGATGACAATATGCGGAGACTCGTAAGGCTCCATCCAAGTATGATGTGGCTATTGAACGTCACAGTTTTTAATTATAAAAAAAGATGTCACAAAATTTTGAAACCGATCAAAGAAATCGAAACAGATCAAGCGAGACTGATCAAAGAAATTGAAACAAGTCACGGTGACACAAAATCGATCAAATGATTTTGAAACCGATCAAAGAAATCGAAACAAGTCACTGCGACACGAAACCAATCAAACGATTTTGAAACTGATCAAAGAAATCAAAACCGATCAAACGCTTTTGAAACCGATCAAAAACAATATTTTGCTACAACAATGCCCCGGCCCAGGGGTGTATTGAAAACTATTTAGTAGTCAAAGAAGTCCGAGATGTGAAAATTCCAAAACGGTCGGTCAATAGGCGGGTTGCGGGGGGTCCAGGTTTAACTCATAAATGGAGCGTGTCCGAAAGTCTTCCATTTTCCAAATTCACAATATTTTAGGCCATTTTCCTTTTGTCAAGCTAGTCGATTGATATTTTTCCATTTTTCCCCCCAAAATTTGATCAAGGTCAAAATGCACCTTGGCAAATTTCTTTTTTTTCATTTTCTATAAATTGGGACTACCTCTGCACTTCTGTTTTTGGTTAAGAAGAACTTCTGGGGATGTTCTGAGAAATGACAAGATTTTACGAGCAATGCAATGCTGCTACCGGTATGTGTACCAGTACATACATGAAGAATTGGGGGAGAATGACTAGATGAATGAAAAACAAGGAATCAAATGAATCAAAATTTTGGTATTTGGGACTTTCGGGTCAAACGGCGCATTTGGACTCGATAGGGCCTAAATACAGAGTTTCTGTGTAGACAGAGAAAAATTTGGAAAAATGGATTTAGAAGACTTTCTGACATGCTCCAATGTCAAATTTTTGTTAAATGAATAGTCTTCTTCCACTTTTTTGAAAATGTCTTGTTTTATATAATGAAAGACACAATGGGGAAATGACAGAGTCATTTCTCAAGAAAGAACCACACAAATTTGGATGTCCGCACTCTGCTGGCAACACAGGGAGGTCCTGCTGAATACCGCCAGTATGTTGTACGTTTCCCTCCATGACTGGGTCAATGATGACACTGGCATTTTCCGAGCATGAAAATACAGAATCTATTTATTCAGCAGTACTGCTAGATTCCCTTCTCAACTGCTGAATTCTTCAGCAGCAGATTCCGTTTTTCACCATGCAAAACAATAAAAAACTGAAAGTGTCATTGTCAGAAGTAAGCGATCCACTGCCGCCTGCAATCTACCTGTTCAATTGACTGCAATTTAGCTGTCCAGGTATTGTTGCCTTCTAAGTATTGAATTTACAGTATATAGAAGTATATAGATCTATCAGAGATCCTACTTTATCAACCAATTCACTCGTTGCTTGCAATATATTATAAAAAGTGAGAACAGTCTGTCAACTTTTGACTTTGACTCTTTCTTCTCCAGCTCAGTGGAAATTCTGCAAGTTCAATCTGTTTATCCGTTCACCTTCCACTGTAGTCGGTACTTTGATTAGTATCCAACTTTGGTTCTTGGTTTAGTCTTGCTTTCTTACATCATATGATCTGTTTTCTGACTCACCTCGTGCGATATTTTTATTTTTAGTCGCATCAGTCTTCATTGTTAGTCATATCAGTCGACATCTTTTCTCTATCGTTCACATGTATTCTCATTTTCTTGTTTCTCCAAATATGAACAAGCAAACGATGGCAATTTGAATGTCTAAACCGCATCGCCTATGCCCACGACTTCTCCTTCAGTTGAGCTCTTCACATTGAGCCCCTGGTTTTTACACATGGTCAAAATCATGCCCCAACCAAAAGAGATGCATCCTCCAGTGTGACTTTTGCAGTCATCATGGATTCCATACAAAACATCCACCCATGCTTGCATCCTCCTGATGTTGTCTCCACCAATGATCCTTGTCAAATCTATTGATCCTTTAATGTTGGCTAAAACAGCCAGTCCGGTCCTCAAAAATGTGACAAGCCGGTTCTGACCCAGCTACCAGTATATCCTATCTATTTGTCACGCCTGAAGACCACTTTTAATCCATATAAACCTGGATTTTCCACAAGTACTTTGTTAGTCCCAACCGTACTTCATTAGTTCTTACACGCGCACGTGAATTCCCAACACACTCCTTCGAGCGATGGATCGTGCATGTGATTCATTCGATAGGACATTCTGTCTGTCCGTCTGTTGTCGGCCCTCATTCAATTGTTCGTTTACTCACTCCTTTGAGCCCCTATTCTCCAGGGATTTGAACCCTTGACCCCAGCCTTGTCTCTTATCTCGAGACCTCCTATCTTTTGCAGTCTATCTACTGCAGCTAGGTACTGAAACTCAGTATATCACACCATGTTGGCTATTTTGTTCCGCATTTGGATCATGCTTGCCTCTGCTGGCATAGTTCATTTGAACTTCAAGTTCATCTTTCATGGGCTCAAATACCGGACGGAATTCTCCATCGCAATAAATCTTTTTCACCGTGAAATCACGTGCATTATAAAGCCGAAAACATTTATCAATTGCGTCATACAATGCCGTCTTGGATCGTGAGGCCAAGGGTATGTAGCACCGGTATCTCACACTCCCATCAATGGTCGTGAGTCCGAATGAATTGTTAACAAAAACAAGATCAATGTGCAACACAACACTCAGATTGGGATAGCTAATTTTTAAAATTCTACCACAGAAAATAACGCCACATTTATGGCATTCAGTGTGTGCAACACCAAACGCGTCGCAGTCACATTTTCCACATTCTCTGTATTCACACTCAGAGTATTCGGATCCCTCATTACTTTCTGCCCTACCATCGGGTACAAAAGTGTACAATCCGTTTTGATGCACATGTTGCATTTGTTGTTCCCCCTTCGTAATGATGAAAGAGTTTTCAATATCAGTGTCCATAATGACACGGAATCCAAGCTTCACAAGCTCTGATAAATTATCGAGGTTACATTGCGCTTCAGTATCAAGCAAGCAAGTGTGTCCTTTGATAATACTTGATTTGACCTGCTGGTGCAGATCACGTTGGCCAGTGTTTGTACCGTAGTTGAACATGTAATCCAGGTCAGACACAGTGCCAGGTTTGGCGTAATCTTCGTTCATTTGTAGGCTGAACGTAGATCCAGAATCAAGATGCACACCAAGATCAATATCCCAGTGCTTACTTCCATTAGACTTGAAAGGTTTCTTGTTATCTTTGGTCCATTGAGAACAGTGCTTCAATGAATCCATCTTTGAGGTCGACTTGTAGATCTGCATGTTCATGCTTCCATCGCTGACCATGCTGTCATCGTCCTTGAAAGTACTGGCAGCTTCTAGTTGTGCCTGCCATTTCTTCATTAGCAACTCTCCTCTGTCTTCAGTGGAGACTGCTTTCTTCTTCAGAATTGGCCTTACACGTACTTGTGCAAGGTTCCATCCTGTGATTCTACCGTTAGATCGTTCATCTGTACCACATAAGAGGGTACATTAGTAGTACCAGAACCCTCATTGGAAAAGAAAGTCTGGTCCTATTGGTCGGCTTGCTCATGTCACATTAGGACATGGCTCGGTCTGCTTATGTCATGTGGCCATGTGATTTTATCGCAGCCATTCGACTGGAACCTTTTCATATTTATTTTTGCCTCTGTGCTAATGTCACCTTCGCCGTGTGAAAAAATCACCTACTACTTGTCATTTTGGGACAGGGTCTAGCCACCATCAACCATGCACTGAAAGTCTCAATACCACCTTCACCCTGTCATTTTTGCATTGCCAGCATCATCTATTGTCACATGCCCAAAGTGTTAATGTGATCACTACAACAATTGAAATATCACAATGACTATATATTAATATCAACTAAACAATACTTGTTCTATCTACTTTTCAGGAATCCTCATATACTGCTACAATTTGTTGCCTTGCCTTCTTGCGCTTTTATTCAAAGAGTTTGTGGTTCAGTTAGTGTTGCCACTGCTGGGCCATTCTTTGGCCAGTGCCTTCCATCTGTCCACATAGTTCTCCACCATCAAAAGTGCAAATGCTTCATCTGTGACATTGAAAGCATTGCTCAACCCACATTGACAGCTTGCATCACCACAGTATTTATTGGCAAAAGAAGCAGGTGAAATCAAGGGTTTTGTCACACAACAGTAGCGCCAAAACATGAATACATACCCTCTTTGTGTTCACGGTCCTCATCACTGCTCACACTTGAACTATTGTCATACACCTTTTCCTATCTCCAACACTCCCCTTCATACTCAACCCAAATTGACATCTTGCATCACCATAATATTTAGTGACAAAAGAAGCAGGTGAGATCAAGGCTTAAGTCACACAACAGTAGTGCAAAACATGAATACTCACCCTCTTTCTATTCAAGGTCCTCCTCACTGCTCGCCCTTGAATCATTGCCATATACCTTTTCCTGTCTATGAGACTCCCCTTCATTTGTTGGCAAATAAACAAAAAATGCTGCTGTTTCTCCAATGTTCAACAACGACGTTCTGATACCAGTAGTACAAAAAACTTGCGGGTTGTTTGGGTGAAGGCTTTGCTAGTGTTGCAGTGTTTGAAGCTGCCTTCTTCTTGGTCTCATTGCCCTTCCCCTTGCTTGGTGCCTTCTTGCTCCTTGTCTTGTTTTCAAATACTCAAGTTTTTTTATTATGTGTGCGCTGTGAAATCTTTGCCCTGGCAAGGCTGGATTCAGTTGAAATGTACTTGGCACTAGTAGTAACTACATGTAGCATTGGGTTGGAGGAGGGTGGAGGAAGGCGTGATTCCACGTATTTTCTGTAGAAATGTACCATAGGGTGGGCTTGAATCCATCCTGGCGCGATCTTTTCCCTGCTATTACTAACAGCCTCACTTAACATATTGCTTACTTAACATAATGACTCAAAACTATTATAGACTTGTCCAATCTATGTTATTTCTACTGAGTAGGATCCTGGTAGATTTGCAGGGAGCTACACTAACAAACTTGTAACTCTTAATGGGATCCTGATTGAGAGACATGTCTCAACAAACGAATCCCAATTTTGTGGCTTACATGCACAATGTCTGCCATATGTAATATCATGATTACCATAACCAGCAAAGAAAAATTGGCAAAGGCGCCACCTGCAGGAAAAAGGATATATGAAAATGCAAAATCTTCTGTTCTTGTTGATGTCATGCAATCATCAAATGGCATCATAGTACTGTGAGAATTTGCTCTTTGATGAGCTTACCTGATTTTGCCAATTGTACTCTATTCAGTTGCATCGCTGTCAGATTCTTCACCAGTGATGTCATCTGCTTGCAGTTTCTTTTCTCAATGTTGTTTTTGGTTCTGTCCTGGGCTCATCGGAGAAATGTTTTGATCACTTCTGACTGTGTAGAATTCTACGTGCAGGATCGTGGTACATTTGGACGGAGCGTCTAGGCTTCAGGTGCAAATATATGGCAGATCCTAAAATCCCAATCCGGAGAAACTTTTTGATAGGAAGTCCAGATGTATGGCAGATCCCGAATCTCAATCCACACAGCCAAAATAAAAACAGAAACAACACAAACATGACAATCAACTACAGTTTGCGCAACAATGGACTGGCACAACAACCAACTGTTCCCATTGCACCAACTGGCAATATGGAAGCCAAACAACAATACATGGGGCACAACAACAAAAAATTCTACTGATGACGATGGTAACAAAAACTGTGTGTTGGTCTAATGATGACTTTGTCGGTAAGAAGTTCATAGACACCGGCTAGGGCGCACATGCATCATCAACTTTGTATGTGAAGACGTCCCTAGATGCAGGAAGATGGTGCCTAATGGCGTTATCTGCTGCCAAATTCGAACTCAAGCCCTATCATCAGAATCTGTTGCTCTTGGGAAACTGGCGTTGGTGGACCCAGAAAGCTGCAAAAAAAAAGACAATACACCAATCTCTTCTCTGCATATATTTTGAGCAAGTGTGTCATTAGCGGAAGAAGAATTCGACCATTGGCATATAAATTTTGACCAATATGATGACTTGGTTTGGTAATATTATGAGTTTGCTCCGTTTCGGCGGGTCCTCCTGGCACCATGGAGACAGAAACCCAAAAAACAACCTGCCAGTCCCTTTTACTGCCTCTAATGGACAAAGGATTACTGGACCTATCAATAGATTCGGCCTATCCTAGATCAAGGCGCCTAAGCAAATGGGAAGTTTGAATCACATGTAAGTTTGTTGCCCCAAAGCATGATCTGGAGTGATCTGACCGAATTGTTGACCAAATTGCTTTGAATTGCTTTAGTTTATTTCTTGCTCATTGATGTACTTGGCAAGGTTGATACATTGGTATAGGGTATCTTGAGGTAGAAATGTTTCTGCCGCACTCCCATAAGTTTGATGATCAATTTGGCAAACATTCCTGATGCAGCCAAAAATCTCTTCGAGTCCACCTCAAGTGAATTTGGTGCATTTCCACCAAGAATTCTCCCGTTCCAGCCAAACCAGCATTCTTAGACACCAATATTGGTGACAACTATAATATAGACTAAAAAAATTGAATGAAGTTAGAATTTGCATCAAACTTGAATCTTTTCAGAGCTGCCACCTAATTTCTGGATCTAGATCTAAATAGAATCTACAGGCAACTCATGTAGAGCTTTATCCATCAGGATCCAAAGAAGTGGTTTGTGTATTGTTAAGTGGGTGTTTGCTATCATAGCGGCCACTGAAGTTGAATTTAGTGGCAGTAGGTTGCAATAGAAAGCATACACCAATGACTTATCATCAGGAGGTGATGAAATATGGCATGGTTCATTTGGGTTTTAAAGGTCACAAGTGACAAACACAACGACAAACAAAAGGGAAGGTTCCTAATAAGAAGGGTACTCTGAAAGTAGGACATGGTTAAGTTGAATGTCAGAGGTTGCAAGTGATAAACAAAGTTACAAATCATAGAATGCTTCATAATCACATGGGCTCTCTGAAAATATGGCCTTCATCAATTCTAGGGGAGGCGACCCAAGCCCCAAAAAGACACGCCCTGCTGATTTTGGGGCATGGTCCCTTAAATATCAACTGACTTTCTTTTCCGATGCGAACCCTAAGGATCTCGAACACTTGATCAGCTTGGGCTTTGAACCGTCTTCTGTAATAATTAACAGACTCATTTTGTCTTGAGTGTAGTCCAAACTCTTGAGTGCTATAGCCTCAAGCAAGTACACCGTCACCTGACCGTGAGTAAATTCAAGGTTGTGAGGGTGATACTGTCTCTTTTGTTTGGCCTTCTTTCCTTGAGACCCTCGACCAGTCTGCTGCGCAGATCTTCCTCCACGGCCACCTTGACCGCCTCTGCCTTGGTTTCTTCTACCAGGCATCTTGCTCTGTAGTCCCTCCTACTTTGCAATATTCAAAAATTACCTTTGTTGATCGACTGTTAGATAATCAACTCCGTAGCTGTAATGAGAGCCTCAACGCTCTAGCTACCTCTGGAGTATACTGAGCTTGAATCTACGTCGGCTATGGATTGCCTACAATAGGAACAGGTGCCAGTGATGCTGGGCTTCAACCTGCGGATGAACAGTCTCACCACTTCCTATTAGATCTTATTCTACTGCTATTCCAGAAGTTGATCAACAATGATCTCCACAAGCAGGTACAAAAAAAATCTCTTCCGGAAGCCTTCTGCATCAGCCCTCACCAGCTATAAAGCACATACGCACATGTTCTTCACAAACTAGTCACAGATCCAGATCTACCTTCAATACTTATCCATCTCTGTACGTACTCAAACTGTACTCCTGTCCGTGTTTGATACCATGAATGTCCGACCTTACTGTCCGACATGTTCGACTGCTCTTTTACCCATTAAGACACCATTTCACCAACATTGTTGGGAATTCACGTGCGCGTGTGAGAACTAATGAAGTACTGTTGGGACTAACAAAGTACTTGTGGAAAATCCAGGTTTATATGGATTAAAAGTGGTCTTCAGGCGTGACGTTGGTTATACACGTTACATATTAAATGAAAAAGGGTTTGTTATCGCAACTGGAGTGGTCGAAACAACAAAAGAATAGCAGTAGAATAAGATCTAGTTGGAAGTGGTGAGACTGTTCATCCGCAGGTAGAAGCCCAGCATCACTGGCAACTGTTCCTATTGTAGGCAATCCATAGCCGATATAGATTCAAGCTCAGTATACTACAGAGGTAGCTAGAGCATTGAGGCTCTCATTACAGCCACAGAGTCAAATATCTGGCATTTAAGATACTGTAAGACTCTCTTGAGCTTGATGCAGTCATCTTCATTTGGGCATTCAACTCTAGTGCACAAGTGTTACAAGTAAGCGATCCACTGCTGCCTGCAATCTACCTGTTCAATTGACTGCAATTTAGCTGTCCAGGTGTTGTTGCCTTCTAAGTATATGAATTTACAGTATATAGAAGTATATAGAACTATCAGAGATCCTACTTCATCAACCAATTCACTCGTTGCTTGCAATATATTATAAAAAGTGAGAATAGTCTGTCAACTTTTGACTTTGACTCTTTCTTCTCCAGCTCAGTGGAAATTCTCAGAATTCTCTCTATGTCAGCCTGATATGCTGCAAGTTCAATCTGCTTATCCGTTCACCTTCCACTGTAGCCGGTACTTTGATTAGTATCTAACTCTGGTTCTTGCTTGAATCTTGTTTTCTTACATCATCAACATGATGATTTCCATAGAAATAAATTGTCTTTTCTGACTTGCCACGCGAGATATTTTTAGTCGCATCTGTCTTCATTTTTAGTCGTATCAGTCGACATCTTTTCTCTATTGTTCACATTTATTCTCTTTTTCTCGTTTCTCCAAATATGTACTTAAAAAATCGTCAAATATCCAACAGCTTTTCCAAAGTTTCAACGCAAAAAGAAAAAAAAAAAGAAAAAAACGAAAAAAACACTAACTCCTTGCGTGTTCCAGATTGGCGTCCAGAAATTGGCATGACACAACAATCTTGTAACAATGTTATCATTATTGTCACCATGGTGTGATTGGACGATTCTCGTCTGCAGGGAGGGCTTGAATCCTCCAAAAGAACTTTCGAAAGGGAGCAGATTGTGGGATTGATGGCATGGAGGGCTCCTTTGGCAAGTATGGGTCCATTGATACCATTGATACCAGTGGTATGAAGCAAAGGTGGATTAGCTGTTTCTAATGGAACAGACTTCACTGCCGGAACATCAAGCATGTATTCTTTGTTATTGTGCTGGGGTAAGAACAAAGGATGGGAATGATTTGCAGTTGCAATGTCCTATGGGACGACAGGGGGGGGGGGTTGATGCTCAAGGGAGGGATTTGCTCCGTGGTTGGATTTGCATATTCAACTGTGGGCGGGAACGCTTGTGTTGCATTCCTACTAAGTGCAAAACCCTTCCAAATGTGCTTGCGCAGCCCGCTTGTTGGAGGAAACAAAGCATTGGAGTTCTTGAAAGGGAGAATGTTGGTAGCTGAAGTAGCCTTTAGTGCAGA